TCCATTAATTCTTGATCTTCTGTGTTTCTTTTGCTTCCCTCTTTAGGGACTCAATTTCCTTCTTCTGATCATTGTTTTTCCTTATGAGTTCTGTCTTTTTTTTTAATCACGGCAATTTAAATTCTCTTCTGGAAGGCTCAGAAGTTCTTCCAAGTTACTGTCGTTGCAATCTGGGGGTGGTTTTTCTTTTGTGGTTGCTTCTTTCCTGAGGAGTTGTTAGGTTGCGTGTGGTTCTTCTACTCCTACTGTCCTGTTTTCTAATTTGTTGTATGCATTGGGACACTGTGTTGCTCGGACTGGCCGGCATCTTGGGTGAACTTCTCCGCTCCCCTCTGGCTCCTCCAGGAGCCATCTCTGGCTTCTGAGGGAGCTTTCTGCTGGTTTCAGGAAGTCTTTACTGAAGAAATGTCCCTGTTCTAAAATGGCAACGCGGGACTCAGTCCCTGAGCATCCGGTCTCAGGCACACTCTTCTGCGCGCCCGATCTGCCCCGGCCGTGGGTGCCTGTTACTTCTGTGGGCTCAGACTGCTGGTCGGAAGAGGCCTGGCGTGGGCTAACTTCCCAGCTGGCCACTGTCTCCTCCGGGAGCCTTCTGCCCTTTTCAAGCAGTCTGAGAAATTTCCCTGTTCTATGGGTGTTAGTGACTTTTTTTTCTGGTCTCTAGGTGGTGCCAGAGATCTCTTCTATTGTCCTTGGGGGCTGTTTTTCGCCCCCCCCCCCCCGTGGGACAGGGAACAGAGCTGGAATGGTAGGGTAAACCTCAACGGCTTTGGGGTGCTGTGTCTGCCTTGTGCCCCACCGTCGTGGAGAACCCACGCCCCGAACTTGGTGCCCCGGGTCTCAGTTCCAAAGCCCTCAGGTCCAGGACGCGGGCTGTAGCCCAGTTCAGGGGCGCGGGAATGGCGCCTTTTGCACCCGCTCCCGTGCCTGGGCGCCTGGTTCCTGCTTACTCAGTGAGGGACTTTCACCCCCGTGAGGGCCTCCGCGCGTCTCCCTGCAAGCCTAGGTCGCAGGCGCGGGGACATGGGCAGCCGCGATCCCGATCCGCGTTTTCTTTTCAAGTGCGCCAAGTGCGCCACTTTTCCGCGCAAGCTTACCGGCAGCCCGGGCTGTGTGCGGGTCTTCCGGGGTCTTTGTTCTTCTCTAATAGCGCCCGGAGCCATTCGCTCACCACCGCGGCAAATCCTGCAGGGTTCTCCACAGCTCCCGTTCACGGGGTGTGGTGGCTGCAATAGTTCCTTTCCACTCCCAGTCCCGCTTGCTGCGTAGTTTGTTCTTGTTGGTCGTTTTAGTTTGTTGTTTTCCTCCTCTCTGCTGGTCGGAGAGTGCCGACTCTGGGCGGGGGAGGGGAGCAGCGTTCTGCGCTTTCCTCCCTTCTGGTCCTCTTTTATGGCCACTTTCTTCTTCGGGCAGTTTGCTGGAGTCGTCTGTTTATCTTCCATGTCCCAGTTCTCACTGGGACCTGCCGCTTTTCTTCCCTATTAACTTTTTTTAATGGGAGATCTTACTCGCAGCGTCTCCTCGCCGCCATGTTGCTCCGCCCCTCTCTCTATATGGTATTTTAAGTGTCCTCTCTAATGTGTTCCTTTGAGAAATAGCAGAGGATTATCTTACCCATTTCCAAAAAGAGTGAAAAAGTAGTTTACATTTAAATTATAATGTGTTAAAGTTACGATAATTCTAACTAGTCTCTAAAACTGAGTTGTCCCCTCTGGTATTAGATCCCTATATCCCACCCCCAGCAGCTTTATCTTGGCACATTGAAGTACAGATAACATTTCTCACTTTTCCTGTGCAGGTAAATTGTGACTATGTGACTTAACATGAGTAAAAGTCATACGTGCAGTTGATGCATTTTCTTCCTTGACAACAAAGCCACCTATCTGGGACTTTCTGTCTACATGAGTTGAAATAGGGATGTAGCTCTAATGAGGATAGCAACCTAGGAGATGGTGGAACCATAGATGGAAGGGACCCGGATTCTGAATGTCTTTAGGCAGAAGAATGACCTGCCAACCTGTCCTGCTTTCTTTTGGTCTACAATTTGAGTGAGAAATAAACTTATATTGTTTAAGCCTCTGTATATTTGATCTTTCTGAAAAAGACTAGACTGTACCCTAACTAATACAGAAATGTAACAGAAATGAGAAAGAATAGGCAAAGAGAAAAGTAAGATTACCCAAATGTATATTTTAGGTCCTTGGTTGTTAGCTTAGTTGACTTGTGTGGCTCATTTTCTTTCTTTCTTTTTTTTTAAAAACACTATTCACTTTTTTTTTTTTAAGATTTATTTATTTATTTATATAAGCACTGGGTACAGTCAGAAGCGTGGGAGGGTAAGAGAATTTACCAGAGCCAGAACGGGGAACAGAACAGGCAGAATGACGAAATACACTGCTGAAGGGAGCAGTGGGCGCAGCAGGAGAGGTCTGCATGCCATGTGGGATCCTCGCTGGCGGCTGGGGATTGAACCTGTGCTGCAGAGGCTGTGGGCAGCTTTGCAGCCCAGCGCTCAACCGCTGCGCCACCAGGGGAAGCCCGTGACTCATTTTCTTAGCGGTAGAAGAAGGAAAATATTTCAAGCGTATTGATCTGTGTAGATAATTTCATCTTGTAAAGGTACTTGATGGTCTCATAGGGGAATTACAATTTTACCACTGTTAGGATTTATAAAATACTTTCTGTGTGTATTAATTTTCAATCATGTTAATTGTATGTGTTTTACTTTTCTGAATACTGTGTAGCTGTTATGTTTTCTCACTTTACTGCTTTTCATTTTCTTCAGACTAAAACAGAGCAAGGATATTATGGTTTTCCTGTGTTGTCATGGTTGTATGAAGCAATTGTTGTATTTCTTTAGCATTTTGCAGTTCACTGATATGCTTCTATCAGTATAATTAGTTTCAACAGTAAGTGACCAAAATCCCCAATAACAATGGCTTAAAAAAGACAAATGTTATTTTTCTTTTGTGAAAAAGTCCTAAGGTAGGAGTTTAAGGTTCCGTGAGGTACTTTGTCTACTAACCTATAGTATATTAGTGATTCTGACTCTTTTTGTCATGCTTTTCTTGTTTTTCTGCTGCTATGGCGTTAAGTTCAGAGTCTGAAATTAGCATCTATAAATGAGGCAGCGGATGGAGGAAGAGATAATTATGAGAGCAGAAGGTGTCTGTGTTCTGTCTCTTGTAGATAGTTTTTTGAAGTTGCCACTTGAACTGATGCTTCCTCTCATTTACCATGACTTACATCATGTGGCCAGCTAGCAGCTAAGCAGGCCAGAAAATGTATTTCTTATGTTGGCAGCAATAATTCCTAGTTAAAAATTACTTTAGTATGGAAGAAATGGGGATAGGAGAGCAGATAAATGAATTGTATTTTGAATGTACAAAACTGATCTTCTGTAGGAGTATTTGTCATGGCATATAATAATAATAATAATAATAAAAATTGTTGTCCTAGTATCTGTCAGTAAGGAATTACTTTAATCAGTTATGAAGAAGGAAGTTGTAGATTTACTTGTAGTATGTAGAAAGTTGCCCATTTTTTGTGAATTACAAAATATTCAAAATTTATAAAAAACAATATATAACTTCCAGCTTTTGTTTTAAACAAGTAATTAATTGGATATGTTTGACTAGTTATATACATATGTATAGAAACATTTCTGAAAGTATTCAAAATGTTTCTTGATGGATGGCATTAGAATATTTTTATTTTTCACTTTTCATCAATTTAAATATGATTTTTAAAATTTTTAATTGGGGCAATACACATGTAATAAAAGACATTTTTAAGTGTTCAGTAGTGTTACATACATTCACAATGTTGTATAACTAAATCTAGAACTCTCATTATTTTGCAAAACTGATGTGTACCCATTAAACAACTTCCCATTACTTCCTCCCTTCCTCTTAGCTCCTGACAGCCACTGGTTTACTTTCTGTCTCCGAGAATTTTACTACTCTAGGTACCTCTTATAGGTGGAATAATACATTTTATTTTTTTCTTTTGGTGACTGGCTTTACTTAGCATGTGGTTATGGTCTTCTAGGATCATCCATATTGCCTAGAATACCTGTGTAAGAATTTTATTTCTTTTTAAGACTGAATGATATGCTAGTGTACGTATAGATCACTTTTTATTTGGTCATTCATCCATCAATGGACACTTGGGTTGCTTCCATCTTCTGGCTGCTGTGACTAATATGCTATGAACATAGGTGTAAACATATCTTTATTAGATCTGCCTTTACTTAAATAGTAAAGAGTCCTCTATATACCATGTCTTCTGGCACCAGGTACACATATCATCAAATAGATTACATTTTATTTAGGTGACTATAGAATGAAGAGTGTTTGAATTTGCACAAGTTTTAGCAAAGAAAATCTTGCATCAGAGAAAAAAAATCTTTCATGTTTATTTTAGAGAGTCCAATTAAATATTTTTTTCTGTTTGACTTTAGTTTTTGATCTTTTCCAGCTGGTGTATTTTTAGGAGATCACAGAAGAAAAGATTGACATGCTAATGAGAAGCCCTTTTAATTATTTGCTGCACATAAACATCAAATCCTTCATAGGCAGGTCATGCTTGCAGATAATTAAAATGAAAAAGAGCTAAATAGAACAGTTTATCATTATAGAAAAATATGTTGGCAAAATTGGCATTTTCCTTCTAAATCACCAGAGGGCACTATTTTCTAGTTTATTTTAACTGATCTATTGAGTTATTATATAACACTTTGAAAAATTTGAGTCCTTTATTGGCATCCAGGTTTGGCTTATTTGGAGACCAATGATTTTTTTTCTTTTGTAATTTTCACTCATTTTGTTAATCTGTTTTATAATAGTGTCATTAAAATGGGCTCTATAAATAAGCCAATCTTAAATGCTTTAGGCGGTAGTATGTCTGCCATAAAATGTCTCTTCAGTTAAGTCTTTTTCTTTTTTTTTTTTTTGACTAAGAGCTCCATAATGTCACTATTTCTGTTTTTTCATGTTAAGGTTTCAGATCGGGTGGAGCGGCGGCTCCAGGAAATAGAAAGAGAGATGCGCACAGAACGAGAGCTGGTAGAAAGACGTCAGGATCAGCTGGGACTTATTTCTTTGCAGCTACAGGAGGTTTGTGAAATACACCCTCTCAGAATATAAATCTTCATCTTGGATAGTTATTTAGCCATTGTTAAATGATTATAGTTCTTAGTCTAATTCAGACCATATGAGAATGTGGTTCATTGTGTGAAGACACCCTTACCTGGTTTAAACCCAAACTGCTTACTAACTGTGTGACCTTGACAAGTTCATTAACCTCTCCAGGTCCATCATCAGATTGCTGGCTGTAAGGATAAATGAGTTAATGCCAGTAAGCAATTAACAGAGTGCCACACATGTGCATAGAAAATGTACTCTATTTAATTTTCCTTGGTATGAATAGACCAGGGGTTAGCAAACTAGGGCCTGTGGGCTCATTCTGGTCTTTGTCTATTTCAATAAATAAAATTTTATTGGATCACAGCCACTTCCATTCATTTATAATTTGTCTGTAGGTACTTTTGTGATGCAGGGGCAGTTTTGAGTAGTGGTGAAAGAGACCAAATGACCCACTAAATTTCAAAGCTACAGTATTGACTACCTGGCATTTTATAGAAAAAGCTTTCTGACCCTTGGGACTAGATAACATCATGCCAGTTTACAATGGAGGTGACTCACCCTTTAGATGCCTTTTTTATTTGGAAATTTTAAGCTTATGAAGAACTTGAGAAATTAGAACACATTTCTGTATACTCTTTACGTGATAATTATTCCCCAAATACTTATTTACACTTTGCCAGACTTTCATTTTATATATGTAAAGTGTTTTGAGCTAGTTGCAGACATGATGTAAATACTTTTACACCTAAATAATATGATGTGTACACTCTCTTTCATAATCACAGAAATAAACAGTGAGTCAAAACTATGATTTAATCTATAGGTTTTATTCCAGTTTTGTCATTAACATTCTTTTCTGGTCCAAGATATAGTACAGAATCCCATATGGCATTTGACCATCATGTCTCTTTAGTCTCCTTTAACCTGGAACAGTTTTCAGTCTGTTTTTGTGACCTTGACAGTTTTGCAGAATGATGGTCAGTTATTTTGTAGATTGTCATTCGGGGTTTGGTGATGTTTCCTCATGACTAGCTTCGAGTAATGGACTTTTGGCAGGAAACCTAGAGAACTGGTGTGTTCTTTCAGGATCAGAAGATACCTAGTGCCAATTTATCCATAACTGGTGAAATCTGAAATTTGGTTAAGGCGTTGCTTGTATGGCTTCTCCATTCTAAAATTACTATCATGCCTTATTAATTATTTATTTTATGGGAAGTCATTGAAATTTGTAAATACCCTATTTTCATACTTTCACCCACTAATTTTAGCAATATTTATGTCTTTTGTAAAACAATTGTTACTGTAAGTGATGCTAAATGATGATTTATTTTTTTAAAAAAGAATGCCATTATTCTACACTTATTAGTTGGATTCTTACTGTAAGAAAGGGCTCTGTCTTTTTCTTCATTCATTTATATTGGTGTAGGTTGTGAATTTTTATTATAGTGGTTTTGTTTTATTACTATTACTATAGAAAGTTAATTTGTTGAAATTACATTTAAATGTTTCTTAGATCTGCATGTAAAATATAAAATATTAGAAATGAAAAAAAGGATTTTTTCAAAATTATTTTCTCTAAAAGTGGTGTATTATAGTTGCATTTATATGTGCTTTCATTAACCCTTGTAAATAGACAGATTAAAACATTTTTAAAAAATTTATTAGGAAACACTGCCAATTGAAAATTAGGACAAAAATTGCAATACTAAAGCTATAAAATAAGCTCATAGAAAACCTGCTTTTGTTTTCTAAAATTCCATTTTCTTCATTTTGTAAAAGGAAGCGTTGTACCCTTATAAATTGGTAATTTCTTCAAAGAGGATACTTTGGTAAATAATTAGGTATAGCATGTAGCCTTATTTTTTTAACTTTGATTTGATTTTTATACGTTTTCCTCAAAGTGAATTACATCTGGTGAGCATAAGAATAGTACTAAAGAGACAATTCTTCTTTTTTTTTTTTTGCAAGAGAAAATTAGAGAAATTTTCCATACTTATTTTCTTCTCTCTGCAGAATGCACAAAATTATAAAGAATGAGGCAGAGGAAGATTGCTTCCTATCTTATTCTTGAGAAAGGAGAGCCTGACTATTTGCGTTGGAATTGTCACTTTGACTGAATGCTTGGGCTGCGATTTGGAATTCCATCTCTGATAATACAATAGAGTATCACGATTGATAAAAAATGCTTAACTTCATATTTTGTCACTTTAATATTAGTGGTGACCTATATGCTTTTAAAAGGTGGTTTTGGATTAAACAGTGCAGTGGAAACTGGATAGGATTAATTTAGGCTGACTCGTTTTCCCACTCCTTGTTAAGTGGCTTACTTAAACTGTTCTGGAAAGGTCATGTTTAAAGAGAGAATACACATTGCTTTCTTTTCGATATTAAAAATACTTAGGGAAATACACTGTATGATAGTAAGAATTGATACATATTTTGTTTCTGTCTGTGGTGAGACATTGAATCTATAGGTGAGTAAGTGGGCCTAGACTTTAACCACAATGCTCTTCTATATCTCTAAAATGTGTAATTCAATGTTAGTGAGAATTATGACATTTAAAAATTGTTAAGAGATTATTAGGAGTTTTCATGAAAAATTCTAGGATGTCAGAGGTTTCTAGGTGTGATGTTGTGTCCCTAGGAGGCAGCCTGTGGTTTTGGCCCAAGCTTCCTTATTTAGTGATCTAATAATGTCCTTAGATCATTGGAGCTTTATTTCTTCCCATAATTAAAAATACAGTATTAAGCTTTGGAAACTGGTAAATCTTTTTTGTATAGAGATTTTAAGAAATTGTTTCTGTTTTCTCCTTTTTTGTTTGTATTTTGCTTTTGTTTTTTTCTCCTGGTTTAAGCAAAAGGGCTATCCACTTCCTTTTTTGAGTCTCGACTGCTCTGGTGTTACTATGTCATATGAATGTCAGGTTTTCTAACTTGGTAAGGACCTTCACTGGTCTTCAGATTTCATGTATCGTATTTTAAACAACATTGTTTTGGTATTTTGGTAGAGCTCCCTTTAAGAAGGTGAATGTTTTCTATCAGTTGTGCAATAAATTTTATTTTATGTACCTTCTAAATTTGGAATGGTTGTCCTTGTATTCTAAACGTTTACTAATTGAATTTAAGTGTTGTCAAGTCTTTAACTACCAGTCTTTACTTTTTGAATCACTGTGCAAATGATGAAGTATTTGTTTAATGTTAGGATACATCGGTCATTTTACAAACTCCCTTTTAATAAGGCTCCTTTGATTAATTAATTTTAGTGGAGTGGATCGGGATGGTGGGTGCTCAATGCCTAAAAGGGGTATTTACACTATCTGCTAAGTCAAATCACATAAAATCATAGATGAAATTTCTAACTTGACTGTTGTCTTTGAGAATTCTTTGCTGCTTTTCTTACTAGCCGTTTCTTGTATACTGAATGTTATTTCTTCATCTTCAGTTGAATCACTTAAAATGAAAACCATCATAAAATGCTAGGTGTGTATTTATTTGTGTGTGCTTTTTAGAGTATTTCATAGTATATTAGAATGTGCTTCATAGAGAAGTCTATGGAGCTGATGAGACATGGAATCTTAATAGATGATGGTGAAGATTAGGTGAAGACTTAAGTGTAAGATGGGTTTTTAGTAAGTGGTCATATGGATAAATAGATTATGTGAGCCTATTCAATAGAATAAGGCTATCTACAGAAAAATTAAAGTAATTGATTTTTTAAAAATTTTTTTTCATCATTTGACATCTGAACTAATTATGAAAAAGTAGCTATTTATTCCTCCCCAGAAATGTAATTCTGGCTCCAGAGATGCTGACTAATATGGATATTTCACCTAAGAAAAGCCTTAGGTACTGTTTATTAATGTATTTAGTTTGGACTCATTATGGGAGAAACTTCCAAGGAAGCCAAGAATGTTTTGCTAATAATGTCTTCTTAATAGCATTAGCATCTCCCTTGAGACTTCTGTGCCAACTCAGAGGGAACCTAGTCAGGCATATGTTCTGAGGTGTCCTCATTAGCCCTTTCTTTTGTACTCCTTTTGAGACTTCCCTACTTGGTTTGGAGACATAGAGGCCTGTTTGAATCTAGTAGATTTTGGTAAGATCACTCACCTTTCCAAAGCTGAATTGCAAAACTTTGCTGGGCCATTCACTTTACCTCTTCTTGTCCCCATAGTTGGTGTCCTATTTTTGGTAGGTATCCTCCATATTTTGACTTAATTTCATAGTAGAAACTTCTTTTGTCCACTTGTGTACAAAAGAACCTTCACGTGGACCATCCCAACAGCCTCCCTGGACTTTGAGAAAGACAGAATTTACAAGTAAATGAGAGATTAAGAATACAAGTTCTAGGTTAAGCAAGAGGAAAACTCAGGGGATGCATCTTGTTTTCCTAATCCTTGGGACATGAGCTCTAGAGTTCAATCCTTTGTCAGGCCCAGCTGACCAGGTTGTATGTAGTAGGCAGAGAGTACTACAGCTGGGAGTCCTGATACTACCACAGGGCTGAAAACACCTGCAAGCAGCACATTTAGCCACACGTGTACTGCTGTGTGGGGAAATGTGTGTAGCAGGGCAAATTAGAAAACTGCTGATCCCATGTCCATTCTTTTTTTTTTAATTTTTATTGTCTCTAGTGGTTTATTTATTTATTTAATAAATTTTATTTTTATATTCCCCATACAATTGCAACCCCCTTATTTTGACCCCAATCCCTCCCCTCCCGGCCCCTCACCCCCCATAGAGTGTCTCTTGTTCATAGTTGTTTGTTGATTTTGATTTTCACTTTCTTATAGTTATTCATCCATGTCCATTCTTCACGGGGTAAAGCTGTAGGAGAAATCTGTGCCTTATTTTGAGCCACATTTTAAAATTCTTTTTATTAAACCCTAAACCTATTGACTTTTTTAAGCTTACAGTTTCTGATGATGTTTCTATGTACACACATGCACATACACACACACACATACTCA